TTTTATTTTCAATATTAGTTTTCATATGCTGTGCTTAAGCAATTTGAACAAATCATGGGTAATATTCTTTTTTTCATGCGCAGTTAATGGTCACGATCGACCCGTTCCGCGTGAAGGTAAGCCGCCATTGCCAAAACCTGAGGAGTATATGTGTCTTATGAGGGTGCACTCAAAATCAAAAAAGGTGAATTTTACGATATATTACGTATATAAAGAAAAAAATTATACCTCTTGGTAGATATCGACGGTTGTACGTCGTGAAGACGTACCGAAGATGGTGACTATGTATTCTCAATTTATGAGGAGCAATTTGGACGGTTTAAAGCGTGTAAAAAAAGTGAAAAGCAAAGCAAAAGCGGCCAAAGGTTAGGCTGTCATTTTTCCTAATTAATTCTCCGTACTGCTTCGCTTTAAAGTTAGCATTTAATATCCGTATGAATGTGCGTGTTTTTCTACCAATTCTCCTTAAGCAAAATATAACAGAATCTTCGTGATTTTTAAAATGAATGAATACGAATTAAAGATAAATAAAAAGTCGTATTACACTTTATTGTTTTGTATTATACATAATGGAGTTTTATCACTAAACTTATACAATTTTAAAATACATCAGAACGTGATGAATTGACAATTTGTAAATTTAAATTAATTCTTTTTGTCAATTAAGCCTTTCTTCTTTAATTGACGCAAAGCGCATTTAGCAGCAGTGCATTTGGCTATTCGATAATTACGACCTATGCCACGATATGTGCCTTTGCAGAATACTTCGACAGTAACACGCACTCGTCGGCCATCAGCTAACTTTTCCGGTTTCCTGTGAAGCGAAGGTGAAAGGTTATTAAAGCGTCTAAGAATTATTTAATATCGCCAGTTTTACCCAAATTTGGCAGTTTCAGGTTCTAATTCTAATAGCTCCCTTATTGGCGACTTTGGTACAGAATTACTAAATTGTTCAATTTCTGGACGCATCATATTACTATAGACACGCCACACTTCATCTAACGACATATTGGAATCCAAGAATATAGCTCCTGCAACGGATTCGAAGACGTCCCCTAACGCCTTTGGGACTTCAACATCTTCTGCATCATCGCATTCCTCCTCAGACAATAAATAATACTAGAGAAGCAATCATTCAAGTTAAATTAAAAAAGAAATATAACAAATATTCCAATACCTCTTCACTAATGCTATGACCATTTTCGGTTTGTATACGTACGAACCTATCGATGACTTCATTAAGTGCCGGCGATAAATGCCTGAAATATTTGTGGAAGCCATGACGTACAGCCAGAGAAGCAAATATGGTGTTATTTACTAGAGCTGACCGTAAATCGGTTAAAGCTCCAGGGGAATGTTGTCGAGGATCTTCATACAAATGTCTAGTAATCAAGTAATCAAGCACAGCATCTCCAAGGAATTCTAAACGCTGGTAACAATCGGTTAATCTATTGGGCGTATAAGATGCGTGAGTCATTGCTTGTAGTAGATAGGATTTGTCGCGAAATTTGTAGCCTAAAATGTCTTCAAATTTGTCATAACCGGCCAGTAAATCTTCGAGTTCTTTTTCTGCTTTCGGTGCAAAATGCAAAAGAGGCGATTTAGGCGGAGACCAAGATCCGTATGTAATACTCATGCCCTCACTGTCCGGCAGTGTACTACCAGCTTTACGTGCGTCGTTGTCATTATAAGGAATGCGTTCGTAAGGCAGCACTCTTATTCCTAGCCAAGCCATAAATAATAAAGCGCCTCTTAATCCGCATTCAATTAGGTAAGCTCCAATTAAAGCTTCCACGCAATCAGCTACGGACTTATCTTAAAGAAAGAAGAAAAGTCTATTATTGGTTATCAGTTGAATTTACTTGTTGTTGTTACCCGGTATACTATGTTGGGAAACAAGATTATAGGGTATTAAGTACGGGAATTCGTGAGGTGCTGGCGCTGGTACTAAATCCCAATCATTTTGTTCCTAATAAAACTATTATCTTAATTTGCGGGAATACTATTGAAATTTTTCGCTTACCTCAAGATTAAGTCCCCACTCATCAGCTTTTTCGCGGACAAGTTCACATATCTCTGCGTTACTGAGCCTTTTAATATTCACTAAATCGACTAAGCCCCAGTAATGCGGTGGTATTTTGGCTTCTATGAAAGCTTTTTCTAATTCCTTTGGAACATAATAGCAAGGTGGCAACCAATTATCACTTGGCTCGAATTTTGTCGCTATCATATATTCGCCCAATTGTTTACGCCTGCCCAGCCGGTAAAGATTTAAATTTGCAACTTGCTTGGACCGCAAGTGACTTAATTTACCCTCATGCACATTTTCATACGTAATGTACAAATAGGTTGTGATAGCGTACTTCAAAAAGGAATCGCCAATAGTTTCTAATCTTTCCAAATTAATTCCATCGTTCGCATTCGACATGGTAAGAGCTTGCAATATTATGCTAGGACTAGGTCCTGGATGTGTCATAAGGTCTGGTTGACGATCAAAACTGAAATCAATTCCCAGAACTGGTGAATCCAAGTTACATACTGCTACTTCTTGCCGAGGAACTTTATTTTTTTCCGGTTCATATTGTTTACCATGATTTTCGAAGTTTAGCTTAATAAGTTTTCTTTCGCTTACGTGCATATCTAAGTTTTGTTTATCATTGAAGCTGTCAAAAATATCACCACATCCGTATATCACATATTGCTCATCGGGATGTTCCTTTACCCAATCCGAATTAAAATTTTCTAATACATCTAAACTTAAACCGTGTCCGCTATTTGTAAGAAATTGCTTTATGTCCCCTTCATTCACATATGGCAGTAAAGTTTTATACGTATCCTCACATAAATCTAAAAATTGAAGACTCTTGCTTTCTTTCTTTTCCAACAATTGAATGCTTTTATCATATGGCACCAACATGCCACAAGCTTCTATTTCGTTTATAAGATTTGAAGTAGACGTTTGAAATCTTTCGATGGAAGCTTTTAATTCGGAAGCGATTTCCTCTTTAATATTCGGAAAATTATAACCAACCTGAAGATTTTTCGTTTCCTGGTAATTGCGTTCGTTCTCTTTCGTCGCTTGAATAATAGATATTTGCTTGTTAAATTTTTCGATGTCTTGTTCAGTCTCAATAGTTTCAGCTTCATTTTTGGAAGTGAACGTAAAATAATCGTCCGTACAAGATTCCTCAGCTGACCAATCCTCATCGCTTGGCAAGCTAAATTCTGCAAAAGAATCATCAGAATCATATGACAATAGCGGATCTTCTTTTATTGCTTCTCCGTTCCCTAAAGTTTCTTGTTCCTCGTATTCTTCATCAAGTTGTATGTCAGTAAAGGTGGGTGATGTGGCTCTTATTGACTTTCCACCTTTAGAGGATGAGAACGAATACTTGCTTTATGCACCCAATTATTATAAAAGCAACAAACTTACAAAATTTTATAAATGGCGGTATAATGCCGTCTAAGAGATCGTCATAGTCGCTGTCGGTATCATCATCCTTAATCGCATAATTGGCCATATCATTAGACCAAGTGCCAATTTCAATAAATGCTCCGCATTCCTCTTGCAATTTAAGTTCCGCGTCTTCTACAATCTCATTTATGGTTTTGTTTTCAATTTTTATTTCACTCTCCTCTCCGTTTAAAGTAAAGGCATGCACTTTCTTCCCGCAATCTTTTATAATTTGATCGAGACTATCTTCCTGCTTAGTTTTTGCAGATTCGTTAATTTTCGATTTTTTCAAAACGTCACTTAAACTCCAACCGAAATCGAGCATAGGCCATTCCTGGTCTTCCGGTAATTCCGGTTGCCCTAAACCGATGTCGGCTACGACTTTCTTGCGTATATCGTCAGCAAGCAATAATCCGTTAATACGGTACAAAATACATGGCAAACAAACTGCCGTACGCCATAAAGAGGCCGGAAATGGATGTACTGTACACAGTTCAGGCACCAATATCTGCTTCAATTCCAAATTTTCTCGTTTAGCACGTTTTGTAGCTTCGGAACTAGTAGGTAGGGCGACACCTTTTCGATTTACATAACGTGGAGTAAGAAAGTTTAAACGGGCGCTGGTGTGATCAACATCCAAAAGAGGTTGTTTCGGGTGTATTTTAAGACCATATTTTAAATAGTAGTAATGCATAAAAGTGCGATATTTCTTGCTAGGAAATATGCTTAAAGGAGATAATTGATGGCAAATTTCAGCAACGTAAAAATAGTGAGGATGATCTTGATTGCGATACCAAGGCATGACTACTGCGTCTTTGAATTTTTCAGCATCGAATTCGGTGGCATGGCGTATTTCTTCGGGCACAGCTGTGGGCATCATGTTAGCATTCTCTTCGATTAATTCTAGAAAAGACCAATCTATTACTTTACTGCCATCGTCTGTCTTGACGGTAGGTATAATAAAGACGCAATTTTCCGTAGACTCCGGATCGAATAACATAAGAAATTTTTTCAAACGTAACACTTTGGTGAATGTATAATTTATAAATGTATTTATACTTGAAATCTGACGTTCATTGAGGGTAATGCGTTCAGCGTATAATTCCAGTGAAACCTTAACCTCACCGGATCGTGTAAAGATGGGAAACGAGCTCACTTTCGGAATCTTTTTGAGTGTTAAAATTCCGAAACCTTGCAAAGCGTCTTCGGGTGGATAAATTTTACGACCACGTGTATTCTGTTCCTCAGGTATAGGACACTGCAAAGTTAAATCTAGAAGATAAAGATAACACGGTTCTCCTGCCACGGGACGACAATCACAAAACTCTGAAGCGATCTGAAACAGAATTCGAATAGTTTTTTTAATCTTAAAGTATTTATAAAAAAAAAAAAATTTCGTTTTCGAAACGGTGTTTTCTTTCAAATTTGCTAACATAAAAATAAATATAGCACATGCAAGCTGAGCGTCACAGGCGCACTATAAACGAACATTAGGAACTTAACTTAAAACCTCAAACTGCGAAGAATCGATTTATGAAACTTTTGGACATATTGTATTGTGTTTATTGAAAACACTGTAACAAACTGAGGATATGTCTTTTGAATTAAGTTTAAAGAACGATTTCTAGTTCAAATCAATTTCCATATTTAATAATATACAAAATATTTTACCCTTTTGTAATAATATTGCCTACGTTTAGTTGTCCCTGGCCTAGGTTCGCTATTTTCCTGGACAATTCTTTCATCTTGCTCTTCTAGCTCAAAATTTTCCCAATCAGTCTCAATGGCCTTGAAGCTTTCCTTTCCTATGGGCTGCAGATTATCGTCCAATTCACCATATTTGTGCAATTGCACACAAGCCTGTAAAGCAGCCATTCTCCGTGATAAGACTTGACTGTGCATCGGTAAGCCGACTATATCGTACTTTAACGGGGAGTTTATAGGCAATCTTAGTGTGCACTGATACATAGTAACATTATTGCGTATGGTTCTTGAGCAACGCCACAAAGGAGTTAATTTGGTAAATGTATCGCTTGGAAGTTTGGCACAGTATTTGTTTATTAATGCTATCGAATTGCCCAAATCAACTGAAGCACCAGTTAGGAGATGGGCTAATGGCTTATAAGGTATTATACAATTATTAAAAGCGTCTGCCTCTTTATGTTCACTATCTGGTGGTTCTGTATTGACGCAGTTTTCCAAAAGCATCTGGTTTTCAAAAAGAACAAGCATAAATTATCAATAGTGTGAAATTAAGAAAATACTTATATTTATATGCATGCATACCTTTTCTATTTCTCTATAATAAGCCATTTGTTTAACAATTATTTTTGTACTTGTTACCATGGATTTTAGTTTTTCATTTTCATCTTCAATTTCCTGCTTTTCCGGTTCGGATTCAACTTTCTCCATTGTATTTTCCAGCGAACATTGAAAATATTTCTTTTCCTTTATTTCCTTTATAGGTTTATCAATTTTTTTCTCTTCCTTGCTCTCTTCATCTGGGCTTTCCTCCAGGTTAACATTTATATCAAACATTTTTAAGTCATTGTTTTCCAAAACTAATGTAACATCTGGCGAATGAGTCTCGTTTAGATCGGTTTGAGCATCTATTTCCGGGTCGGCTGTTACATCTTCAATAGCTGGGGTGTCATCTTTGATTTCTTTCAATATTAAGTCGCTACCACTGGACGAAAAATTAGTGGTGGGCGGTTTATTGGTAATTACTTCAGGATTTAAAATTTTTACCGTTCCTTTGCCCGAATCATAAGTGTACCTTTGCTTCTTTGACACATTGTTTATATCCTCTCCGTATTCAATGATATCATCATCGTCTGAATTTTCCGATTCGCTAACCATATTATCTTCCTCTGCAGGCAAATTGCATAACAAGCGATGACTTCTCGCATTTAATTGCTCATTTTTATGTTCTATGGCTAACATATTTTCGGAATCGGCAGCAACTAGTATAACATGGTAAGCTGGTACAGCTCTTGCTCGCCCTTTGCACTGAACGTAACTGCGATATGTAATGGGCGGATCCCATCTTATTACAAGATTACATTTCGGTACATCTATACCTTCTTCCAGTACTGATGTACCGATAAGCACATTGCAATCATGCATGCGAAAGCGTTTCAAAACTTCCTCTTGACGACGATGTTCAATTTCAGCTTCCTTCGGCTCGGTCAAGGGATCAGCAACCCGATCAGTTGTGTATTGACATTTTAGAAATTTCAAATCTAAATCGTGACGACTCATTTCAGCCAAGAGGTCGAATAGGACGCGAGCTGTATAATTTGAACTACAGAAAATTATAGCACATAAGTTATCTGCAGTCTCTGTAAGCTCGCGATTATAACGACGATTAAAAGGTCGACGTTTTATCCGATTCAATTGATAGTTGATGCTGCGGCGATTTGAGCTAGAGCCAATGGAATTGAGGTTATTAGGTTGTTCAGTCTTTTGTTGAGCTAAATCACTTATTGCGTTAGTAACGGAATCCGATGTAAGTTTTGTGTTCAGATCTGTATCCGGTTTTACAATACTATCCAAATTTTCAATAATCGATCGAGATTGCAATGTTTGTTTCTCAATAGCCTGTTCCACTATATGACATTTCGTTTCAAGAACACGTGTCAACTTCGGAAAATCCATCTGCTCCAATTCCATACTTATTTTTTTAATGCCATCGTTTTTACTAAACCGCTCTTCTGGTTTAAACAAACGCAACACTTCTAAAAGCCTTAAAACTTTCGGAGTCGAATAATGATGCACTAAGACTTTATGATTATCTGAAAACTTACGAAAATGTTGCTCACAAATGGCGCGGATCTCTAACAGAGCCGTGTTAACCAAACAAAGTAATATGTAGTGACGTTCGTGCGGTGTTTTGATTTTTTGCTTCTCAATACGGTGATACATATTCAGAGCCACTCTGTCAGCACACCAAGGACCCATTTCGTGCAGTACGCTTAACAAAATATCTAAAAATTCAAGAGGTTCCTTTTTAGGATCGGGTATATCTTTTAGTTCCTCAAGAAATTCATCGGTACTGTATATTTCGAAAGGATCGTAGCGATGGTCTGTAAGAAACGCCTTACGAGTGAGTATAATATCTTCTATTAAAAAAGAAAGTTCATCTTGTGCGTATGGAGCGCATTGAACAATGAACTCAGTGGGTTTGGCGCAATATCTATGGAGCGATTGGGAAAATATTTAATAATACACATTTATATACATTTATAAAGTTTTTTCAACACATAATTACCTTAAGACTGTCACTATATCGCTGGCTGTTTCCGTCTTACTATGTATTGAAGTTTCCAGATTATTCAGCATTGCTGACAGTTCGGCTAAATCGCAACCGGCACTATGTAAAGGCCCAGCCAGACCTAACACTTTAGGCATTTGCGACTGATTGCCAAGCACATAGAATTCTCGGAATATACTCAACATATCACTGTGTATTTCATCTTGATGACAATCCTCTAAAACAATGATCTGAATATTTTCCATTTTCAATCGACCGTTTTTCAACAAAACCAAACATGTTTTAGGCTTTAATATGTACACTTCAAATTCCTTCGGAAGCTCATCGAGTGATTCTGAAGTTTCCTGATAGACACGAAGGTCTGTCATATGCTGTAACATAACGTACATGGCGGGTGTTTTATTATTGCTTAAGTAAATGCTCACACCTAAATTTCTGAAACGCGCCTCTCGACCTAATTCTTGCAACAGTTTTAGAGATATGAACTGCTTGGAGGATCTATGCCCAAGGCATATCATAGTATTCCTCTCAAAAGCCGATGCCAAAAGCTCAACTTGATAGTCGCGAGGACTAAATACCGTCGTATGCAAGTTATCACACCAGTGAAATGACATAACTATTAAATTACAATTATTAAAACAATGAATAAATTGAAATACATGTACAATTCTTGTTAAGTTAAAATTAAAAAAATTGCTAATATCGTGCTGCCCTTTCAAGAAATTGGACACTTAAGATAATAGAAGAAGAAAAAGAAAAAAAATACACCTTACCATTGCAACCGGAATAATCAGCTGATTATAAAGCGTTACAAAAATATGTTTTTACGCATACGTGCAAATTAATAAATTAAATCGGAACAAAATGTTGAAGTCGAAAAAATCGGCAAACAAGTCCGTGCATACATTATATTATGTATATAACATGAAATTTATCGTTACTGCGAACATTTCTATATCAAAATCGCTTCACCTAAATTAAAAGAAAAAAAAAAAAACGCAATTAATATTCATTTTAACAGTTGAGTTGAATACATAGTTGAATAGTTAGTTGCGGGCATGTTGCTTGGCCGATAGAAATCATGTGCTCTTATCACAATTTGTGTCAAGTTTTATTTGTTTGTTGCAATTTGTAGAGTTTAGCCCAAAATATGTCAAATTTTTATTATTTTTCTTAAGAGTGGTTTGACCCATGCAATTATGGCTAAAACAACCGTGGACATTTTCTGACTTGACGAGCAGAAATTTATAAAATTTTTATGTGCCAGCTTTCCGCCACTCCCATTAAATCAAGATAAACAGATTGACGCGCCTAAATACACCTCAAAATCTCACGCTCATCAAAAGTAAACTTTGCAAACCATTTCAATGGCACGCCGAAAGAACGAGGCCTCAATTTATACTGAGAATGTGAGATAGTGCTCATATTTGGAGAATGAAGAAGTGCCGGCTTTTTTCGACTGGACGAAGCATTGAAATCAGCACGCGGCGACCTTCAAAACTCTGACCGGTTATTTACAATGTCTTGCCGGTTTTTTCTTGCCAGTAGTGCAACGTGTCCTTGGTAATCACAAACATCGGAAAGGTATTCGTTTTGAATCTACACACATTCCACATTCCGTTTAGCAATCGTAAAGTAATCAAAAAACTCATCCAAGCCATTAACGCAAATAGTAAGGCAAACTGAACAATTGCTTTTTTTTTTTAATTGCATCATCATAATATATCAACCTTAAAAATACAATTGTACAGGTGAGTTATACCAATGTTACACCAATGTTTTCCTCTTAATTCAGCGAAAGTTTAATATTTAAAGTAGGTCGTATGCCAAATATATCTCCATAAATGCGCAATTGAAAGGACACAAATAATGCATACTAATATCTTAACACTTAACAAGAAACGTATGTGTTTTTATAACAAAATGAAGTAAATTTCTACTTCTCAATGGAAAACTTTTTTTTTGAAAGAACTTTACAACCAAAGAAGAAACAATTGGAACGCAAATCTATTTACATATAGTAAATGGCGAAATATTTTGCACAAAGAACAGATATTTGAAAACATTTAATAATTATTTAAATATCAAATTTTGGAAAGTCCCTCCCAGCGATCTGGAACAGTAGGAAAATAACGATCCATTGCGTCATAAAAACGCTGCCGATAATGTTGTGGAGCTATAATAGTAGGCAACTTGCTCATGCCACCTAAAATGCCAGTTTGCTTTTTAACGAACGATTCAACCCTCTTTTCGAACGTATAAGTACGAATATAGTCTACAAAATAACGAATTTTAGCAACATTAACCCTATTCTATAGAAAAGAAAAGATTTTAACACTTACCAATTATACCTAATACTAAGAGACCATTTCTTTCATCTAAGCCCACCAGTAGAGAGTAATCCATAACTTCATTTTTTTCTAAAAAGCAAGCATCACGATTGATAGCATCTTTTAATACGACTTTACTATGCGTTAGTACATACAAAGGCTTGGACCATGACACTAAAGAGAAAAATTTACGTGTAAACATTTCAGATTTTTGCTCCCTATTAAATATAAATAAATAACTTACTTTGTACTAAATTTTCATCCAGTAAAACAATATCGCCTTCTTGTTGATTCATTGGATCCACTAAACGATTACGTTCAGAGCCTTTTAAGTCAAACTTATTTTTAATATCACATTCGTAGAATAGGTTTTCCATAACTAATAAAGCTTTCTCCACGCTCGAGCTGCAAATATTCAAATTATGACCATTGCATGAACATTTTTCAGATCTCCTTAAGGAGAAACGTACTCTTTCTTTTTAACAATAACCTTAAACACTCCGAATATTTTGGCCAATAGAGTTGGTTGATTTTGTTGCTGACATTTGTTGATGTAATCGAAATAATTCGGTGCAAATATTTCAAAAATATTGATATCGTTTTTCGACATCTCTTTTAAAACAAAGCGATCATCTGAAAATGGCGTTATATTTAATGAAAATGAATCATTTTAATTGGTAAGAATCTTGTAAACCTGATGTTTTGCAAAATCTGGAACCGGATTTGCCTCCCTTAGCCTCCCATTGCACACTGCTGCATAAAGAACGAGCAAAATAATTGCGACTTTCTTCAACAATATCGATCGATTTGGTATTCTCTTCTTTTTGATGATATTCTTCAGATTTGGTATCACTTCCCTCATTACTTGTACTAGTTTCGTTAACTTTGCGCACCAGTTCTATTTCAGGACCATTTCTACTTTGCGATATTTTAAGCTCTTCACGTTTCTTGCTTTGTTCAATTTCCCGATAAACTGACTTGTCCAGTTTTGGGGCCTTTAAAGTTTTAGCGCGCATTTGATCAAACTCTTTAGCAAAATAGATCTTACACGTAAATTGTACGCTATTATCTTGAAACGAAATTTCAATATGAGAATTCGATTTCGTTTTTGTGCGCTCATCTTCGCCGCTAGGATTGGGATTATTCTCTTTATTACATTCATCATTTTCATAGCTAAGTGTAAGGAAAAAGAAAGGAAAGCTTTAATCAATAGAATCTTTAAAGGATTTACATAATTACCATTCCTGGGATTTACGTTTCACATGAGGGCTGGGGTTAATGCAAACACTAGAAATTGACGCAGTGTCCCCATGGGTCTGAATATTATTCATTTGAGAGCCTAAGAGGCTAACTGAACGTTTATATTCCGTACATGTTAAGCTGTAAGCAATTACTGAGCTTAAATCCAAATCACGCACAATCATGGGAAAAGCTCCTAACGGTAATGTATAATGTTCCTGGATGTTAAAAGGCGATTGCAACAAGTTAACGGGACCGGTGGATGGCAAAAGGTGGTTCAACATTTTTTTAATAGTCTTCTTATCAGAGGAATTCGTTATTTGAGGAATTGTGAAATGATTTTCTGCCCCACTTTTTTCTAAGTTACCAGATGATGCAGCGTTTGTCTCTGTATGGGTATTATTGTCAGTAGCTTCCTCCGATTGTGCTGCCTGCGGAATGTCTGGTGGCATAGTTGTTGTAGGCGAATTTTCCGACTGTTCAGAAAGCAATTCCTCTGTGCATATAGTTCCAGCATCCACATGATGCTGGGTCGAATCATGACTTTGTTTTGCAGCATTCTTCTGAGCCAACGCTATTTCATGTAAACGAGGTTCCCAGCACTCTATACTCTCCGCTAAAACCCTTTTGGCCATGAGCAAAGCATCAGTGATGTCATAACAACTTACTCTGTTTTCTGTCAACAGCGTTTGTATGATCTCCATATGCTGCTTAAATGTGAATTGATCTTTGCTCAGTGTCATCTTTAGATTAGCAGCTAAAATTGAATTTTCATCTTCGGTTGCCAGGTCTGCGATTCGTTCATGAATACGTGTGTACACCTCATGACCTTTCACAGAGAAATTCTTCACTTCTTCCAACACTTCGAAACGTTTAAATGTGGTAGGAGGATGCAAAGAAATAGTTAAAACGGGTAAAGCTATTTCCCAAGTTTCTATTGGGGTGTACTGGAATCTAGCTGCCGCACCTCTATAACTAAATTGATGAACGTAGTCCCGATGCAAGGAATGCGAACAATTAGTAGTCAAAGCAGGATTTTCATCTACCAGCGATCTCTTTTTGTAGCCATGCCCATAAAATCGTAATTCCAAATACTTGGCCAAGGATAAGCACTTGGAACTCTCCGTAAGAGGTACGGTCGGTGTGACTTCTGCACACTTACTGCACCAAGCTGTAAAATATATGTTGTTCGCATCAGATTTTGCATTATCTTCGCTGAGAAAAACCTTAATGCAACCCATTGAATGGACATAACGTCTTATATGACCCTTCATAGGTAAATTGCATACGTTACAACTTGTACGGAAACAATAGCGATGCAAAAATTGACTTAACATTATGTCATGTTGTCCGTAGAACTTCATATCGAGTAAAGTGGGCGGTGCACAAAACGACGAGGCTCCCTTTTGATTATAGAAGAAACTGCAAAATAGTACCGGCAGACGCTGATGATTTTCTATATCGAATACATCTTTATATATAACGTCTTCGGGGATTTTTTGCGGATTATAATATATATTTGTTTGGCGTTCTCCTAACGTTTTAAAAACTGGCATAATAATTGATTATCATAATGAATTTCAATAAAAAAGTCGTGTGCGCGTGTGTGTGTGATTTTTGGGTTAATAAAAATACTTACATTCCGGTTTCTTGGGATAACGTCCACCATAAGCTCGAAATTCGGCTAATAGTGTTTGTATCTCACAATTATCAGCTGGAGCCGTTATTTTTAGTTTCAGAAACGAATGAGGGGGATTCAGTTGAATTTCTTCGCTATTTATTGGTATTATCTCCGAGCTATCGCATTGTTCCAGATTATGGGCATTTATACTGAAATTTGTGCTTGAATTTGACCATAGCTTTGAATAATACAATTCCGCAGGAAACAGTGAACGTAAGGGACACTTGCGTCCTTGCTCTGTCTCGAGAAAGGGTAAAGGAAAACTTAAAAAGGGGCTTACTGAAAGAATAGTGGAACTTAGCGCACTACGAAACCGATTATCGTAACGATGCTCCACTTCTAATTCCAGATTTGGGGATTGCTCATCGCGTTTCTTGTTATTGGTCGATCGTAACGGATCACTAAAATCATGCGAAACATCGGTAACAGTTGTAAAAATTTTTTCTTCAGATTTACGCTCTAATATAACAGCTCGTTTTGAGGGTGTTGAACATGCTTGCGCTACATTTTCTTCTTCTGAACTTTTGTTTATATTAGCATTTTCGTCAGCCGGACTTGTTTCTTTCGAATCGAATATTGGTGGTTTCGGGGTTAGAGCTTCTGCGTATTCATCTAACAAAAATGACATCTCCAAGCGCCAATTGTATCGGGCGTATACTAAGAATGAGGCAACTTTTTTCACTTTAGCCAATTCTTTGTTATCACCCCCACGTAACAGGCAAGTAAAGCCGCGTGGATTGGCAAGCTTCTCGAAAAACATTAGGGTCTTTGCACCATTATTGCCATCGTTGTAAGTGCGTATACAAAACTTATCGCATATACCTAATTTTGGTTGTGCAATATTACCTTCAATGTTGGTGAGTACATCGCATTGCAAGGTGCGGGCTAAACGATCCATAACGGACAGTTTCACATCTAAAACTAAAATAATGCCATGGGATCTTAGCATATCTTGGGCAACGCCCGCTACATTTTTATGCACTAATACCACATTCGGCTTAAAGCTCATAATGCGTGCGCAAACATGGCGCAAATACTCTTTCTCTTGCAGCAAAACCGTAGATATGCTAACAAACTTGCCCTCAATACGCTCGTAAACAATGGGGCATTGCAAAAGGAGTATACGAGGTTGTTCTACACTTGTAGTCATATCTTTGTGGGCGACATTTTTGGAAAGTACCACGCCACCTACAATTGAACTCTCTAAACGTTTGCCTCCCGGTATCTTTTTGAAATTTACAAAATTCCGTATATCCATTAGTTCGTTGGTGCAGTATTCCGGTTTAAAATGATTAGCTGCTCTGCAACATAAGGGACTTAAGATTTTGCTCCACTGCAAATCTAATTGAAAAGTACGCAACATTTGTGTTAGCAATTGTTCCTCGTGGTCACAGTAAGACTCTAACAGTTTCGAAGCTGTTGAATGCATTGCGTTATCCATATCCACATCACGCGGTATTTTAAATTTGAGTGCAGTATCCAGAAAATTGGGAGGATGAGGCTCATTACCGAATTGTTCGAATTGCGGACTTACGCTACCTGTTTGCTGATTAACGCTATTAAAGTTGATGGTATCGATCGTTTGTCTATCAAAAAATATCTTATCTTAATTTTCGCAAAATAATTTAAAAAAATTTTTTTTTTTTGTTATATACCTCGGCAATTCAGTGGCAAATCTGTAATGGAGATTCTCATCAAATTCCGTTTGTTCTGAATCGTGCACTATTGGATGAATGAAACCAGCTTCCAACATAGCGCTCAATATTGCTAATGACTGCATTTTATTTGACGTCTTTTGTTTAATGTTCAGATATTCAATGAGATCTAGTCCACAATTTTGAGCTGGTAAAACCTGACGCATTTCCTCTAATAGGGCTATTAAGGAGCTGGATTGTTGTAAGATATTCTTACGATCGTCCATTGTTATATGAGGCTGATGTATAGCAAAACGTTCTTCTTGATACCCAACTGATATTTTGCGCTGTGTAGGCGATCGGGGTGATGATAAATTTGGGGAGGACTCGTTTTCATCTTTAGTCTCCAGTCTGCTGCTTAAGTTCTGTTGTAATGCTTGAAGATCGGAATTCAGATCTTTGGTTATATTAGGCGAACGCAAATAACTGAGGACAATTTTAGAGCAATAGTTGCAAACCTTCAAGTCACCTACATAATGAAATATTTGCAAAGAAAATTCTCACAATAATGTTAAAATGTTTAAACAAAACATACATACCAGAGCATTTGATAATTTTTCCAGACACTACTTGATTGCAACATTTGGAACAGAAAATTTGCCCGCATAAACGACAATGATGCTTACGTCGAAATGTTGAAAACTTTTGTGCGCAATCATAACATTCCTTAGCTTTAGAATCTGGCATCCAGAAACGATGCAAGTCCGTGTCTTTATAATTACGCAAATCCTTCATAATTATTAAAACACATTTATTAAATGGACATTTTTTACATAATTTCTAATTTAGAAAATAATGTTAGCTCACATTGTTTTTAGAAGCTACCAAATTTCTCAAACGTATTAAGACATTAACCGTACTACGACCTTCGCTATGTTCCAATGGCAACGAATCAACTTTTTCTCCTGAAATAGAATTTTCGTTCGTAGACGAACTGGTCTCGTTAACAATGATGGGAGATTCTGAGAAATTTCCAGGTAAATTACTGCCACTGGTAAGGTTATCTTGAAAAGTAGATTGACTATTATTAGCCCGTTTCGAATCATCGTAGAATACAGATTTGCTGATAACACTTGAAACTTGTTGTTGATTATAACTCGATATATCATTAACGGTATTATAACTTTGATTGTATGCATGATGTATTTTATTAACAAAACGACTAAGCAGGGTGTCGGGCTGCTCTTCAAAATCTCTAGCAAACTCGGTGAGTTTAGTCAGCGAGTGTAGATTTTGGTTCATATTGGTCTCGTTTTTGTGAGTAAGTATGTAATTTTTGAACTTGCAGGTTTCTTTTAGAACGTTGTTAGGGTTAATTGGTCACTTAATGATGATTCAGGTGCCAAGGATCCCAAGGCTAAGTCAATCCATTTTTGTTCCTAAAATAAAAGCGAATCATTTTTTATTTTCATTTTTGTAATTTGGCAATTCTCTTGAATTACTTGTTCGCTTAGTGTTAAATGGGAATCGCCGCCATCAGCTTCAGGATCGGGCAACTTATCGGAAGGCACTAAAATTTGATCGAAAGGTAGTTCTTCTTCGCGCCACTTATTGTCGACAATTTCCAGTAAATAACCATCGGCTGGAGCCTATAAATTTATCCATGCAATGGATGTAATATGTAAAGGAGAAATGGGAAAATTATTACCAAGGAATTGAAAATAAAAAAATTCATGATAATAGTAAATGTAACTACTTTTTGTAGACAGTAAGTTTAAAATGCGTGAATATGTAAACATGTAGTACTTGATTCTAAACTTAAAACTAACTATAAACTATATTTCTTATCAACGTGACAACAAAGTTCATATATATATATATACATATATATACGTATAAGTATCTTAAAAGCGAAAGAGAGTTCCGTTTCTCCAATAGAAAATATAGAAGCGCACATTCATTGTTCGTATCACATTAGGTCGTTAAACCATTTCATCTATGCCTTTTGTTATAACCATGACATCAATGCTTGGATGATTATTTGAAAGGTTGGAAGATTTGTCAAATTAAAGCATAACATCAATTCTTTTAACGTCGTAGTACTAAAAAAAAATATACCGTGCATCGAGCGTTGTTAAGCATAATGTCGAATGACTCCAAAGTCATGTCTGCCGTATTGCCATCGAAAGAGCATTATATGTAAAAACTCCTTAAGACAATGTAAGGCGTGAGAGGGCCTCTTATTGCATATGGCTGCAGTTCTAATGTACATGCTAATTTTAATGCAATATCTCAAGTAGGTTGAGTGCAAACAGTTTATATAGTCAAAAGTCCTCAAAACTTGGCGGTTTAACAGAAAGCATCTTCCATGCGAAACGTTCAAGGCACTACATTTTTCTTCTTGCTTGGCAGTGGAAGTGTCATATAGCGCCAAGAGGCTAGAAAATGACCATTAGTTGAGATTGTGATGATTTAGAAAATAAAAAGCTTCTAGTGGTATATTTCATGGAGGCAACTTTTGATTCCAATTGCTGATATATAATCCTTGAAAGTGCGTTTTTTTTTTGTTTTTTTAAAGCTTTTTGACGAAGAGACCAAAAGACTTCAGTAGTACGAAACTACCTTTAGGAGACCAGAGTGTATAAACAGTTATTACTATCCAATTGCTCCAACAGCCTTTCTATTTATTTGTACACAAATATATATTTTATAAACAGCATTTTCACCTGGCTATCCATTCCTTAAGTAATGACTTCTTTTTCGTAAATATGTTTTTTTTATTTTCCTTGTAATTAATTCGATGATTTTTCCTGACTACTAATTTTTCGTAGTATTATTACACGAAAATTAAAATGTTTTTAGTTAATTGCCTGTAACTTGTGAAAAATATGACTCGGTCACCAATATTGGATCATCTGTGAACAGAGTTCCCACTGCTTGGAAATTGATTTAAAGTTGGCGAATTTTACTATCGCATATGGAAATTTTGTTTTTTGATGTGTTGTTTCTTATTCTAGCAAAAATGTGACTATCTCTATGTGTGAACAAAATGTGCATATTGTGCGTGGAACATTAGTTTTTAAGAAGGATATTTACTCAATTCCAATTCAAAATTAATGTGACCAATTTCTCTCACAGCGAAGCAAAAATTTCGAGATACATAAATCTCTCAACAAATAAATTGCCACCAACAAATTACCACATATCGCAATATCAATATATCATGCTATTTTTTTCTGTTTGCCATTATACATTGCGAAAATAAAAAATGTTGCTGTTTATTTATTTAAACTCTTAACGACATTGGAGCACATTAAAGAACATGTTTGGCTTGGTGGGTGAGTCACGAAAAACTGAAGAATATTCAAACCACGAAATAACCAATTTTACTTGCAAAAATATCCTATCTCAGTATGTCGCAGTTCAGCTCATGGTATTAATCAAATGGTAAAATTAAATTTAATTTAAACATCTCATCAACGATGCGAGGCCGTAGCTGTCATTAGGACCAACTATGTCTTCATAGAGGAAGCTTAGAACTATTTCCATACTGTGTTGGGTTAATTAGATAATTTCTACACTATATTTAGGACAATATAATCCGTACACTGCGCTGTGTGCCCACCGAAGAAGAAGACCTGCATCCATGTCAAATAAAGGTAGCGCGAAAGAGATCTGCTTCTAGCTAGGAAAGAAGCAGAATCGATTTCCGGATACCACTTCTTCTCGCTCAGAAATGCTTTAAATTTATTAAACAAATTATACATATATATATACATTACACAAAATATTCTCTAAACAAATATTATTATTATTTTTATTTATTTCTGTGAATTACGCATTTATGAATGCCGACGGCAATTTTCATTTCTCATTTTGAAATGAAATGCCGACGGCAATGAATATGTCTAAAACAGATTTTTTCACTTATGAATATGTTTAAAACAGATTTTTTCACTTATAAAGCTGCATTTAACAGATTTTTTACTTATAAAGCTGCCTTCATATGCTATGTAATGATGTGTGTATAAAGCATTGATGTTTCAACATTTTGTTGTTCTTGTTATAAGTTTGTAAAATATTTTAGGTGTGGTGGATACTATTAGTTCCCACAAAGTCCACAAGTTCTCAGTGCCGTGTGTATTATGTGTATTATGTTTCACAAGAAGCTAGGGTGATGCCACCCGCATCATTATTAACATTGAAAAGCGCTTATAAGTGTTTCATATAATAAATATACATAGGAGGAGATAGGAGAAATAATAAATAAGTGGCAAAAGGAAAAAAAACAAAACAAAAATCAACCCTCAAAAAAGCACTTAAAAAACTTATATAACTTATATATATAGTATAAACTTATATTATATTGTAAGTAGTGTAAAAAGACAGCACAAAGTATTTGTTTACAGAAAATCATAAATTAGTGCGGCGGAGAGGTCAATACATGCACTGCGTAGTAATATTTTGTAGTTTATAGAGTTTGTAAATAAATGAAATACAATTCGAGATTTTTTTATTTAGCTTTGATATTATAACAGATAACTTTTGCCTAATTTATTTTCATACACATATATAATACACACAATTTTTCAAACTTGATTACTCTTTCTGGTAAACTATAAATATAAAGAAGAGTTATATAAATAAAAAAAAAAAAATGGACAGAGAAAATAAATTTAAGAGAAAAGCAGCTGATAGTTAAATGGTGTGATAAACTAGTGGAATTTGTGGTAACTGGGCGGTCAACAAATGAGGTTTAAGAGAACAGGAAAATCTATAAGTGCTATTTAAAGAGCATTCTTGTATTCTTGTTGGTCTCTTGTGATATTGTGGGAACTGGGCGGCCAATTTGAGAATATTTTCCTCGCTTCGTCCAGCGAGCGTCTTCACAAGTAACGAGTGAATAATTCATAAGAATAATAATCGTTCATTTTTAGATGTTTGAACAAAAGACTTAAGACACAAACCTGTTTATTTGCTGTTGCACTTGGTCTATTAAAGAACCTGCTCCTGCTATTAACTTTCTTTTCATAATCATTTCAAGTTTTTCTGTTATTGTGTAAACAATAGTAAATTTAAATTTTCGAACTTCAATTAAATTCTTTTTTTTAAGAGATCCGTTTCATGGAAAATAAGAAGAGAAAATTTCCATTCTCTTCTTTTACTTCTTGTCCTTTTATTTATTCTGCTTATAAACATAAAATGGCGGAGTGAAAATAAGCGTCTTTCCAGTAAAAATGTCCTTAATTAAACAAAAAAAAAAAAAAAAGAAAGAAATTAATTCACTCTTATATGACACGTTAAATCATGGGTGAATGCCACCTCTAGAACTGGAACAATTTTATTAAAAAATCCATTTAATTGAATTGTTTGATTGATATCAGCACTTTAAAGAATAAAATTTCAGATCGTAAGATCAAATCCAACGTTGTGCTATCCATTGAAATAATTGACTAGATGCAGCATAGCGGTATTTTAAAAATTTCGAAAAAAAATTATCAGCTATGCCGACATCTTGCCAACTGATCAATAGATGAGTTTTTCAGCTCGTATGGCGCAGATTTAATGCAGAAAGAGAAATATAAAGTCAATCTTATCTTTAATTTTATTACAAATTTTTTACTAAATTTATTAATGAAAATGAAAAAATGTTCAATCCGTTGGTGACAACGCTATATTGGCAACTAAATCAGAAGACCTCAGACGAGCTAAGCACCACACCTCATGCAGTTGTATTTTTTTTTTTTTTTGTTTTTTCTTATTTCATTTTTATTTTCCATATTTAAAAGATACATCGATATATTGTGTACATATACGCAACATAGTTAATATATATTGGTAGATAATAATGCAAGCGTATGGGTTGACTGAAGACATACAACAATTGAAACTATTCGGTAGAAACTTTTTTTTTTTAAATTTTACCAAAAACCTTAATACGTATAAGTGTATGGCGGTGAAAAAACAAATTGTATTTTTTTTATTTTTATAAAAACTTAAAAAGTGTACTCACTGCTAACATTTGCACACACACACACACACACGTACGCAAATCTATGTGAATATAGAGTTTTTGTGGCGTGTGACTGAATGCGTTTAGTCACCCATACATAGTTACGGGGATACTAACACAATTGCATACCCGTACAACGACGGGACAGTTTTGTAAATGCGTGCTGCCGCTGGTATATAATTGTACCTGATCTGCATAATTATTAGATATTCATCGCTGATTCTTACCATTCTGCTTGCTGCTCTCTCTCATTTGTATTTTGTGTCTTAAACTCGGACGTTTGAGTCTAAATATGTTTTCTATGCCATGTCTGATCATTTATTTCTTAAATATATATATATATATATATGAATACAATTGTTGTAAATATGCCTTAAAGGTTGTTAACCAACGTTCACTGCATAGCAGTTTAATGTTAACATCCATAATCAGCCGTATATATGTGTGTGTGCGTGTGTATGGACTATGGCTTCCGGTGCGTATTTAATAGAAAATTTTTTTTCTTTAAAATCAATACTTAATTGTTTAATTCGATTCCAAGAACTATGAAATTTTTGAAAAAAAAATTTTTTATTATCTATCCTTTCATTGCTGGTGAAATTTTTGTGAAATCTTTAAGGTCTTCCTCCTATATATAATTCCTATGCACAAACTTCCTGCTTAAGAAAACATTTGATGTGCTTGATGCTTGCGCTTACCTTACACGTACGCTCGCGCTACATTTGTTTAGTCCGTACTAGTCGAAGCTAGGTCTTTAATAAATGAGGAGCGTTTTGGAGACACAGCCAATAACACTAATTAAATATGGCTGACCGTTTGGATTAATAATCATTTTGGTATTTAAGTTATTTACTCATACGCGCACACTCACACACTCACACACTTACACACTTATATGCACACATTTACATTTGCATATGATTTAGCTGTTTTCTTACAATAAATGAACGGCGATAAAGCGATGATGTAATAAATCTTTTTTTTATTAATTTAATAAATTAATTTAATAAATTGTTAAACCGTTTTTAAAACTCAAAAAGAAATTTACCTTTCGCTGGCCACTCGAAAAGCTAAAAAGGGAATTAATTTACTGGTACTGGCCTGGTTTAAGTTTTACACGTTCTCATCTATCTGCCCGACTTCTACAAGTTGTTGTAACTTTTAGGCAGACTCTCTGTCTAAAGGACAGCGAAACATCAGCGAATGAGACAATTATTGGGGAAAAGCTTTTCGCATTCTATGACACAATTTGAGATAAATTAGAAAAAAGTCGGCACAATTTTATTTTATTTCGTTAATAATTTCCACTACACCACGTAAGTTATAAGTAGTCGGTGTATTCATTTTGTCGAAACGTTCTGCAAAACTTAGAAGAAAGATAAAGATGCACTCACTATAAAGTTTATATTTATACCTTAGACCATTTGTGAGACAGGGTATATTAAGTTTGTGCGTATGTAACACCGAGAAGTACTTCAGATAGACCCAAGTTTCATTATACCGATTGATTACGAATCATTTTCTGAATGGATTTAATCCTAGCGTCGGTACGGGTCGCAATTTTTGAGATATTTTGATGAAACTTGCAGCATTGACATGCTTTAGCCCAGAGACGAACGCTGTTGATACTGGTTCGAATCGAACTATATATACTATATCGCCTAGATATATTATAACGTCTATTTTGAAACAGTTGAATGACTATACTGGGTGATGTATGTCAATTATTCAATGGTCGACCGTGACCGACTACAATCTTTTAGTTGTTTTTTCTTATTATAAAATAATGAATGAATTCTTTGACTAAATGGCAAAGACATTACGAAGTGAACACAAGAGTACAATTATGTCTTGAGCGGCAATGCTACTTTATGAACATGAAATTATAAACCATTTTCCCGCTTTTCACTTATGAAAGCAAATCGATCTACTGGGAAAGCTTTTCCCAAATGTTTGCATATAATTCGAAGTACTTGAAATACGATCTAAATAAAAAACAAAATGGCGGCACAATAGCTTTTACAAAAAAGCATATTTTTCATAGCGGCTTCTTCACCGTGTTTCTACAGATCACCATTGTCTATTTGAAAATAGAGATAAGAACATTCTTAAAATGTTATTCGATATCTGGTTATGGTCGCAATTAAAAAAAAAAGGCATCGACGACTCATGGTAAATACTTTGTAATACGTGTGTACGATTCAAAAAGTTATCTGACCGAAACTTTCATCACCGACAGATGTCTTCATATGAATATGGGATAATAAAATACATACAAACATGCGTGTGCCCAAAAAGAGCTCCACACTACATGACTTAAGCTTGAAATATATTGAACATTTCAAATCTCTTCCTTGTCTGAAGTTCGCATAAAGTATGTGCTTTAGAATGCATGCTGGAGGATAGTCCCGAATGCACAGAGTCGCCAGTAAATTTACTTCTTCATAAATGATTTTCAGGACAATAATTTGCAATTTTTATTTTTTTTTTTATGTTACGTTTTTCTTTTTTTATTTCATTTCATAATCGAATGTGTTTTCATAAAGACTTAAGTCCAACAGGGCCTTTTGCGCAAAAATTTACATGAGCACTCATGATATGATGGCAAAGGATCACTTATATGATCTATAAATATATTTTTGACGGCGTCTTTAATAGCTTGACTCTCTTCAATATTTAAATCGCAATATTGCAGGAAACGTATTTTATAGCCGGGTAACCAGCCATAAGTTTGATTGGAATAACGGGGTAATTTTATATGGCATCGGATGTCATAAGTGCGAACGCGTTCAATTTCTTCTTCGTATTTTCTTATCTCGGGCGTTGTTTCTTTGGGCATTCTGTCGTACTTTGAGTAAAATTTTTCAGTTAAGGGTCGCGTGCGATAGTCCGGTATAAATGTAAGGCGATCTTTACCACGTTTCGAACAAGACGCCATATTAAATTAGGACGACGACCTTCAATTAATATACGAATATTTTTGAAAAGTGTAAAATTTTTAATATTTAGAGAAAATTTTTTCTTCTAATCAAATATTGTATTCTTTATATGTATAATCAATAATCAATAATTTTTTATAAACATACATAAAATTAATTTAGACTTAAGCTTTAAATATGTCATAACAAATAGGTCTACAAAAATTATTTCGGTTGCCTTAATGTTTTCAAAAGAGAAAACGTTTCACGTTGCATGATTATCGTCAGTCGTCGGCGAAAAAGGCGAGAAATTTGATAAAATATTTACTCCAAAATAAATGAATGATAAAAAAGCTTCAATTGGAAGTCATGAATACTCAGATCCTATAGATATTGAATTTGATCCTCATATTGTTCCCTCATCTATTGTTGATTTACGGAAGAAGAAGGGAAAAGGAAAAGTTGAGGTGACAACAGCTGTCTAAATCAAACACAAATTTCCACACCACTTGTGGTCTAAAGACACATTACGTTTGTGCGACGCACCTTTTATTATACGGACCGATTCGGGATCACTACTCAGAAGCGAACTAAGCTTGCCTGTGCGTCTTGTGTTCTTGTATTCAGCTTAGCAGCTCGCAAGTTTTCAGATATATTGATGAAATTTGGTATACCGACCCAAACACCATTGAAAACGGTTCAGATCAGAGTGCGCTTTCGGTCTCTTCCCATGTGAGATATTAGGAATGTGCTGTAGGGTATTTAACGGTTGCCTCCCGTCCACTACGTCTATACTTGTTTTGGTTTAATTTCAAAATAACGATAAAAATGATAGAAAATATAGCATAATACGTAAAGGAATATCACTTGAAAAGGTTAAGATCCATGCATACTTAAGAAAGGCGGTAGAAAACTGAACGAGTTGATAAGGATCGCTATAACGGCTGCCAAATGATTCCATATATTTAGAGTATTAGAAAAGAACGACCTTGACGACGGCCAGTTTATTGTCTACAGTCTGATAACATTGAAGTTATGGTAGTAAGGGCGAAAAAAAAAATAATAAAACAGATTCCTTAAAGGAGGGCGACTTGTCCCATCAAAAAAATTCACGCTCCTTAAAAATCTTTTCTGCCTATGAAAATAGTGCCTCAAGAAAATGAAAATCGAAACAGCGTTAAAATAGACCTTACAAATGTCTACCACCAGACAGTTACGCAAGTAGGGGGCTGAAACGTTATTCCTATTTTCGTAGTGGGAGACCAACTTTCCCAACCTTTTTCAAAACTTTACGGGAATTGATTAATCATACGGTTTTGCGTGTCTACGTAGAAATGAAACAAAAATAAAAAAAGCAGAGAATAAATGATGATCGTTCCTTAAAAATTTTAACGGTATTTATTACATTAAAGTAATTTCTTTTATGTTATGTGATTTGCACTTTTGTTTTATATCGTTCAGAAATGAAAAACAGGCGATAAAGACCATCTATCTTAAAGTTGAAACTGTTCCATCGGAGAGTCATAAGTAGTAATTTCCAAGTCATGTACAAAAGAGCTCGCGATGGTGTTAAAAAATTTAAACAGGTTATGAAGCGTAACAAAATTGTTATTTTTTTCTTCATTTGTTGTTTATGATTAAGTTTATCTTAACCTTGATTTCTTTATTTTTGATTCTAAAATCGTACGTTTTTATTTGAATTTTTCTGTAAAACAATATAATAGCACCACCGTGAAAGTTTTTAACCCGAAAACGAAAATGACGCGCCAATGTATCAGCCCCCTTAGATTTAATACAATCTCAAAACCAACTTTGTGACGTTATCGAGATGAACGAAGAAGCAAAATGCATCTGAACCATGTCAATTGCGTTGAAATAAAGCATTAATGGGCATCACTGTCTCGTTTCGCAAATATTAACATTTGTAAACAAAGACGATACTAACTTTTCTAATTTTCTTAACTTTGTCAAATTATAAAAAAAAACAAAAAAAAAATGAATTCGACTGCATCAGCATTTTCAAGTCCAGAAGGTGTTAGTTTGGAGAAACAAGTGGAAATTGATGAAACAATTCCAGCAAGTTACGAGCAAATTTGGAGTGAAGAGCAACGTGAAAAATGCATAAGGTGGATACGTTCTAATAGTTTGAGAAGGGTAAATGGGAAATCGTGGAAAACATATATGTATATATATAAGTAAAAGTAATGACATCATTATGCTTTTGATAGGTTTGTTTACAATTCCCTGACGACTACCTTTGTCACAGTGAAGCCATCGCTACAAGTTTGCGGGATGAATTAACTAACGATAAAGAGCTCGATAATGAAGTAAAGATTTTTATATTGGCAGACACGTCCTACGGCAGTTGCTGTGTAGATGAGGTTTTTAGCATAATTTTTTTTTCTTTATATCTTTTTAAAAATTTCAAATATCTTTTCTGTAGATAGCTGCTGCTCATGTGGATGCCGATGGCATTTTACATTTCGGTTATGCTTGTCGAAGCAATTCTTCTTCTTCTTTGCCCGTATTTTATTGTTTTCCACAATTGTCCATCGATTGTCTAAAGTTTTCTGAACATCTTTTAAACTTTAAGCAGGATTTCGAAGGTGAAACAGTTATTATTTACTTAGATATTGGATATCATCATGTTCTTGAAGCTGAATCTGCCGTCGTTCTCGAAGAAAAAGAAGAATCTCTGTTAAAAATGACAAAATTCGACAATGATGAGACCAAGAAAACTTTCTTAAGTGACTTGAAAAGATTGCAGTGTAAAGGATTATATGTTATCGAATATGGCGGCACTAATTACGGTACTTTATCACACAATGGTCAAATTATCAGAAAGTGCGGAGATTTTCATAAAGAAATCGATGAATTGGATGAATCGTGTGTTTGCGTATTCGTGGGCAGGGATAATATTAGATTCTTTAATTTATCACTTAGCACGAAAGCAGCAAAATGGTTCATATACGAATCATTTTTAAACAATTTTCAGGAGAAAAATCCTTTAAAAGCTAACTATATACGTCGCCGTTACTATTACATAGAAAAGTGTAAAGATGCCCAAACTTTAGGTTTGATAGTCGCCACGCTTAATGCAAATGGTTGCCTGGACATGGTAAAACGTATACAGGGTATGGCGAAAAGTCGGGGAATAAAAACTCAAATTATTTCGGTGGGTCGCATCAATCCCGCTAAGTTGGCAAATTTCTTAGAAATTGATTGCTTTGTGCTAATCGGCTGCCCTTTTAATAACAACTTTGACTCGAAAGAGTTCTACAGACCTATTGTGTCAGTTTTTGAAGCTGAGATGGCTTTAAATCCCTCATGGCATTCGCATTACCCTGAAGTATATGTAACAGATTTCAAGGAACTCTTACCTGAAGGCCGTTCCTTTGTCGAATTCGAGGTGACCGATCTTAATAAAACCAATGATGTAAGCTTAATCGATGGACATTTACGAGTATGTGGGCACGTAAGCAATGTTAATAATGAACCCGATATATCTGCATTAAAAGAACAAAACTATGACGTAACCAAAGCACCCCGTATGGAGATTATGTCTTCAAATATTGGCCTAAGGTTTGAGGATCGCACTTGGCTTGGTTTAGAACCCGCTTTGGGTCGCACTGAACCAGCAGTAATTGAAAAGGGCTTAAATGGTATTCCAATACGATATACGCATGAATAAGCTAACCATTTATGTAATTACTATTCATTATCAAAAAACAAAACAAACAAAAGGGTGTATGTAATACTACATACACATTGAAAAACGCTGTACATTTTTCATTACGAGCATTTTTAATAAAAATTTGTAGACGTTTCGAGACCTATTAAGCAATTGACTTCGTAAGTAAAAACTACGCAGTTCACGAACAACTGGCAACTTCAGTTTATTCAGGTTGTTTTTTAATCACATAATAGTTTATTAATCACGATTAATTTGTTCCTTACACAAGAGAAATTTATATTTACTTTCAATAATTTAGATTTAATTTATTAATCATTTTTCGCAAACATTTAAATCACACTCCCCTTGAATCTCCCTATTCAATTTTAAACCCTCAACCAGTACATAGATGAACGAATTCTGTTATAATCTGGCAAATTTTCGACAGGACCAACAGCAGCAACGGCAGGACACCTATCGTAAATGTATTTCATAGCAACATCACGAATATTTTTAACATCAACGGCTTCAATACGTTGTTCGAGTTCATGCAACGGTATACGCCGCCCGTAACAAAGAATTTGTCTACCTATATCTTCGCAAATGGGAGTAGTACCATCGAGTTGCAATAACATATTGGTTTTTAGTAAATTCTTGGCACGGTCAACTTCAGCTTCCGTGACCATAGTGCAAAGACGCATCCATTCCGTTTGAATATTAAATAACATATTTTCACACTCTAACGGATCGCAAACGTAATAAATTCCCCATAGGCCTGTATCCTTATAGCATGTATTGAACGATTGGAAACTGTGGCAGAGATCTGCCGCCATGAAAATTATAATCGGATAAGAGCTTTAGATAACGAAAACGAGAAAACTTACTATCTTCAGCACAGGCACGGGCTAAATTGGAAGCATTATTAACTCCGCCTCCCTGAGAGCGATCCCATGCGCCAATCAATGTATTGGCCACCATCAAAGGAATGTTATCTTGATCCGACCAACCGCAACCTTCAACAGCGATGGCAACATGGGCCAACGGAAGCGAATCGTCACGAACACGAACTTCAGAGCCAGTGAAACGGCAAGGATCCATTGATGGTGGTTTGCCATCGAACGTGTTTTCCATTTTACCCAAATACTGTTCGGCCAACTGCACTAATTCATTATGTTTCACGCCACCAGCACCAGATAAAACGATGCGCGAAGCCTTGTAATGAGTGTTGATGTAAGCTTGCAAATCGTTTCTGCCAATACTCCTAAAATAACGATAAATTAAATATTTGAAATAAGAAGGTTCGCGAACAAATTCACTTGATATTTTTCGTGGGCCCTAAAATAGTTTGACCCAGTGCAGTTCCTTGGTAGGCAGTGGCGTGCAGATGATCGAAAACTACTTCTTGTAAATTGCTTTCAACTTCTTGCATTTCACGTAAAATCACCGAGCGCTCACGTTCGATTTCAGATTCGCCTAATTTTGAATATTGTATAATATCAGCCAAAATTTCGACAGATTTTGGTACATCTTTTGACAAGCACTTGGCATAGAAAACTGTTTGTTCCCGCGAAGTGTAAGCATTCAAATGGGCGCCCATATTCTCAACTTCTAATTCTAAATCTGTCTGAGATCTTTTAGAAGTACCCTTTAAAAGAAATATAGTCTTTCAAAATTTCTGCAGACCTTAACAGAAGTTTAACTTGCCTTGAAAGCCATATGCTCCAAAAAGTGGGCAACACCGTTGTTTTGTGGCGTCTCAGATCGAGAACCGGCATCAATCCAAAGGCCTACTGTGGCAGTAGAAGCACCCGAATCTTCGCTAGCAACGCGCAAACAATTGTCCATTATAGTCACTTGGGTCGCTGGAATGTTCAGGAGACACTTCGTCATTAGTTCTGCATTAGAAGCTTTGAAGCGCTGCAAACAGATTTATTAGGCTTCGTCTTTTTCTAATGGATAGATACCTTTTTCGAATTTTTCCAAGTATCCGAAATCTTGTACGTTGATTATGTAATATTTCTTCCAAAAGAGGAAAAAAAAGGATATTTGCAATTAATTACCTTTAACATGTTTACTCCTTTGGAGAGCGGTCGCAAATTTTGCGAAATGCCAAGTACACACATAGCCATTTTTTATTTGAATTTTTATTCGATCGGAAAACTTATGAATGTGTCCTCGAAATAAGACTAGCCAATAATGATTTCAGAAAATTAATTTTCTTTAATGAAGTTAGTTATCTTAAATGACAATCAGAAATTTCGTAATGTCGCAAGCAGTAGATAAAAGTTTAAAAAAGTAATTTCTTTTTTTTAATTTAGATTTGCAATATAATTGCCTTGAAAGTGAACACAATGGAATTTTCAACTTTATAATAAAGTTTTTTAAATTTCAATTTCTAAATTTTGTAGATACATTTTTTTTTAATTACGATAAGCAAGTCCTTTAAGAAAAGAATTTGGCTTTTATTACCAACCCTTCGAAAAAATATTATTTTCCGAAAATTATATATTTAATGACGGTTTCGCGTGTGTGGCATCACTATGCGTAACGCAGCTAACAGCTGATATTCTGTCGAAATTACCGGGAAAGGCAATAAACCAATTTTTAACGCAGTCTAAATTTCGAGTGCTTCTCCAATTGCTCTGGAAATTTCGATGGCTGGAAATTTTTGGCAAAGTTCTCATTCCCAACAGTGGATTTTGGATCGTCAAGACTTAATACGAGAACGTCAATACGATTTACAAATTCTATCCGAAGATGAGTATCAAAAAGTGTTCATATTCTTTGCCAATGTCATTCAAGTACTTGGAGAGCAGTTGAAATTACGTCAACAAGTTATTGCCACTGCAACAGTGTATTTTAAAAGATTTTACGCAAGAAATTCCTTGAAAAATATCGATCCTCTACTGTTGGCCCCTACTTGTATACTTTTAGCATCTAAGGTTGAAGAGTTTGGTGTGATTTCAAATTCCCGTTTAATTTCTATTTGCCAATCAGTGATAAAAAGTAAATTTAGTTACGCTTACACGCAAGACTTTCCATATCGCACAAATCATATTTTGGAATGCGAGTTTTATTTATTAGAAAATTTGGATTGCTGTCTGATTGTGTATCAACCGTATCGTCCATTATTGCAGCTAGTTCAAGATATGGGGCAAGAGGATCAGTTATTAACATTTAGCTGGCGAATTGTTAATGATTCGTTACGTACGGATGTTTGTTTGTTGTATCCACCATACCAGGTTAAGTGAATTAAATTCACAACAATTATTCATAGTTAAATTAACAAACCTATATATCATTTAACAGATTGCTATAGCATGCTTACAAATCGCCTGTGTCATATTGCAAAAAGACTCGATGAAGCAATGGTTCGCTGAACTTAACGTTGATTTGGACAAAGTTCAGGAAATTGTACGCGCCATTGTTAATCTTTTCGAGTTATGGAAAGATTGGAAGGAAAAAGACGAAATACAAATGCTCTTAGCGAAAATACCGAAACCAAAACCTGCACCTCAGCGATAAAGTTACTTAAAAAATAAATTATTCTCCTTTTTTCATAGTACATAGCTCTAAGAATGAAGACGAATGTATATCCCCTAGTAGAACTACAAGCGTATATTATGATATATCAAAGATATTTAGTGTGACCAGTAGAAAATTTTGTATCTAGAATTTTCGCCTTATCCACTATTTGTTTAGTTTGATTGCTGTCAATTTTATTTATTTTTAAATCCAAATCGCGGCTAAATGGTCGCCTTTCACGTTTTGCATTGCTTTCCTTCATTTCCTTTTCTTTCTTTTTCTGTTCTTTTCGCAATTTTTTTTTATGCATTTCAACAAGGGATTCATCACGCTTATATTTCTTTTCGTGCCTTTTGGCCATAGCTTCTTGTTCACGATCTCGTTGCTTATCATATAAGAGTTGAGCCTTATCTTTTAACGAGTCGCTGGTGCTGGTGCGTTTTGATGTGCAAGGTTTTTCTCCTTTAAAATCAACATTTTGATTCGGTGTTTTCGTCCAATCAGTTCTAAAAATCAAACGAGTAAAATCTTCGATAAATATGAGAAAAATAGCATCACTTCCAAGTGCTTCTAAAGTCGTATTGAATAAATTCTTTAGAAATTTTTTTTTATAATTCAATTTCGAAATGACTTACCTATTACTGAAATCTGGGTTATCTTTTCCATGATAAAAACCGCGTTTCAAATTACTCAGTGATGGCAAACCCTTCTTTAAACCTATCTCTGGTAACTCCAACATCCATTCCTCACGCACATTTTGATCGGCATTTCTGTTAACAAGCGTCCCATCTATAGCTGCCATTTTCAACTGTAAAGCTCTCTCTTCCAACTTTATTTGCGTAGAGCTTAATTCCCCAACTGGTAAAGGCCCATAAGTGTCAATTAAAGATTCTTCAACATTTCCTCCAGTGCTATCATCTCGTTGAGATATTTCTTTCAAGGGGAAACTATGATTTTCTAAAAATTCACCTCGAATAGGTTCTATAATTTGAATTGGCTCCTTAGAAGCTTCCACTTTCTGCCCTATTAAATGAGGGGGTAAAGCAGGGCCAAATAAACTTGTCTCATTATTTGGGACAATATATTTAGATTTCGTAATATCATCTTTGATCGACTTGATAGTTTTGGATTCTTTTTTAGCAGTCTTCTTCTTTTTCTCTTTCTTAAGTTTTTTCCGTTCAGATTTCTTCTTTGATTTCTTCTTCTTTTTTCTTTCCCTTTCCATTTCTGTCAATTCTATATCACTGGACATGACGCGAGAATAACGAGAATTTCGCTTTTCGGTTGAACTTAAAAATGTGATTTGGCCGGTTTGAAACTGCAGAGAGAAGAAGAAAACGCTTACATCAGTTGCGGTCAGTTAGCAATTTATAAATAGTTTATTATTAAAAATTGGATACAAAATATACAACAATAAATTATTAAAAAAAAGAAAGAATAACAAACTACTTTGGTTATATGTAATTATCAAGAAATAAATTACTAATTATTTTTTAAAGCTTTTGTACGCATAAGCTCATCAAATATGTGTTAAATAGACTTTACTTATTTACACACTAATTATCAACTTTAAAGCCTTAATTAAAAAGCGATGAAAATGCATTTGTCCTACAAATAAAAGCAAGTAGAGAGTGGCAATGGATATGAAAGTAAGATGACCGATTTACGCAGAAAAAGTTTTTAAAGCTTTACGATAACTATATGCTAAGGATTTGACGAATCCAGCGCTTGGAATATTTTTTAAAGATTGTGTTATGCTGCTACGCCATACTATATCGTTTACTGAAACCTGAACAATATCGTGTAAATTTTTTTGCATTGCTAAATGGACAATAACTTCTGCGTACGTGCCTTTGAAAGCAGCATTTTTTAGCAAACGTTTACGTAACTCTGACGGAGCATACCGCAAATGATGTTCGTTTACACTTGGTGACTTATCTTGTTCAAAATATTCTACGTTCCGAGTTTTGGTTTTAAATTTCATGGCCACATATTGACTTAAGGACTTCATGGCTGGTTCATATAATTTGAAAAACTCTGGTAACTGAGCTTTTACTATGTTTCGTACTTTATTTTTATTCTCACCGAAAATCATACGAAAATCTCCTTTATAACTCAGATTTGATATGGCACAAAACAAATCAAATGCTGTAAACTTTTCGGGTAGTAATAGCAAAGCAATTTGGAAAGCAATGTTTAAGTTATTTGCTAATGCATCCGTCAATAATTGATCGCTTTCGAATGGCACAATATCACGAACCGGCTTATGCAAGCGTCCAGCAATATATAAATACCTCCATTCCAATAAATCTTGTAACAGATGCTCCCTTGATATTACACCGTATTTTATATTTACACCCAAATCCGGGAATGGCACTAAAGTATTAAAATACACTTTGGCTGCAAAATATTCTTGATATTTCATAATAAAAGTAGGTCCCAAATGTCTTAACGCCGAATAATGGCTTTCATGACGTTCAATGTTTTCAGCATGCCAACCCAAGGGATCTTTTACACAAAATATTAAATCAATAATATTGTCTCTCTGTTGGTCAATTTTTTTGTAGCCTAACTGCTGCTTTACTCCAGATCCATAGGCAAAAACATATGCTAGGCCGCCCCGAGGGAAACGTGCTAAAATATCTCTAAAGAGACTCATCGATACTAAACTTATCGTAAGTATTCCAATTAATTAGCTAATAAATATTTACTTTTAAAGGATATAATAAAAAAATGTTGAAACTTTCATTAATACTTCTTTTACAATAATGTCACTTCAGCTTTGTTGTTGTTAGTCAGCAGCGGCTAAATAAATTTCATAATGTGACAAGTATGTTCAGTATTACAAGCTAACAGAATTGCCATATAATGGTGTTTTTGTCACACGCTCAACAAAAACTCGTACGTTACACATATAACATTTTATATTTCGCTACGTAAATAAATGAAATATGTGAATGCTGAAAGAAGCTTTGAATACAAAACAAGCAGAATTCTTCTCTACTTCTTTTTAATATCACATAGGTAATAAGTAGATAAGTTAAAAATATGAGTTATACATCACGTTTTATGTACGTTTTCGCCACTTATTATTGACACGTTCTGTACGTGATATAGTCTATGCCAATCTCAAACTTAATATTCGCTTACTTTTTTATAAGGAAGACAATCATGTAAGCAGGTGACAATAAAGTAGGCGATAATCGCCAAGAGAATCTAATCGTGTTGGCAAATTTGCTGGCGATTATCGCCAACTGCGCTCTCTCAGTACGTCAAATCTGGCTATAATAAAATTGCTATCTCTGAGAACAAATTTGTATTGAGTAAACCAAGCAAACTCACCACAAATCTCAAAAGCAGCTGCAAAGAAAAAACACCAACAACTATTTGAAAATGAATTATTTAAAATTTTAAAAAAATTAAAGAAAAAACATTTTTGTCCAAACTTACATTTCTGAATTGTGAAGAAAGAGAAAAAAAAATTTGGTAAAAGTAAGTACAATCTTGTCTTAAATATAAAGCTAAATTAAGCAATGTTCACCAATGCGTCGTAATTTTCTTTTATGCTCGATAATTGAGGAGAAGAATCGCGACGCAGAAGAAAGGATCACCATGAAGCGGGCGAGAAGGCTTTATGAGATGCTTCTGATCACCTACCTGCACTAGTACGTAATACAGTATTTAATATGTCGAACGTCTAATTACAGTTTTTGAACATTTCTACATAAAACATTTTATATACTAGATCTTCTCTTTATTTGTCCATATATGAACATGCAAAAAAAACATTTTTGCCATTCAGGAGTGGAGGAGAAAATTTAATGTAATGATAACGAATGGTGTATTTGTATGATTTAAGCAAATCTGTGAAAAACAATATTTAATATCTAAATTTTCCTGTAATAAAAAAAACTACAATTTTAAACACTGCATTTAACTTTATTATTTTTGTCGCTTACAAAATTCTACATAATTTTCTATCCATTTCACTTTTCATGCTTCTTACTGTTTACCACAAGTGGTTGGTTTATATAAAACAAGTAAACGCCAATTTGGCTCTCGTTTTTTACGCCGCTCTCAGTTATTAATGCATCCAAATGGAAAATTTGGGGAGAAGTATTGGAAAATATTGGAAAGCTGGTGCTTGATTAGCTTCTTGATGCTCATAAATATATTGTACCGGTCTTCTTCTTGATGCTCGTAGTGATAGTCAATTGCATCAAAAAAAACCAGGCGATAACGACGGCGACTTCTCGCTTGCATGATTAACCTTCTGATTGCTATTGATTTATTTTTATTATTGTCATTACTGTTGCTCCAAATCAGTAATTTCTGAAACTAAATAGAAAAGGTACGGCTATTGACTATATATACAAACAATTCTTGTCAAACTCATCTTGCCTTCCATGTTATCATTAAAATTTATTAAAATCATTTCAGTTTTCCATTTAGTTATTTAGAGTGGCCTTGGTGGAAGCATAAACCATTTTTTGGCGTATTGAAGATATGTCTGGTACCCAACTTTGTTGCTGTTATTGTATGTACACATTTATACATACATTTTTATTATGATGATCATATCTAATATAAATTTATGCATAATTAAGATTTTTGTTGTTCAGTTCAAAACAATTTAAATCAGAGAGAATTTTGAATTAACATTATGCCATAATTGCGCTCTTGCACTCTACATTAATCACTTCATTTTTTGTAAGTTTACAATTGATAATATTAGTTGATAAAGAAAAACCAAAACTGTTTTATTCATTTCGTACATTTCTCGTAACTTAATTGCTTTCTCAGATGATTGTGAATCGAGGTGAATTTGAGGTCCGCTCATTAAATATAAATATGATTGCTATTTATTGACATGAAATTAATTCGAAGACAATCCAAACGCAAAAATAATAGGAATCTATTAATTCTAAATAATAGGAATTTGTTAACCCTATTTTTAACGTGCAGAGTGTTATCGTACCACAAGAATGCCGACAAGTGCTTATTTTGTATAAATAGAAACTCACAGTCGACAAAATATAAAAAAATATCGTAAAAAATTTTTAAGAAACTCTTTCAAAATCATTGTTTTTAGCTAAAATGGCATCTCAAGAAGAAGAAATAAAAACAGCAATAAAAGATTCGCAATCTGAAATGGGCAAAGCAGTTATAGGAGAAAGCGTGTCAGTGAAAGATTTTACAAAGGTAAGAAAAGCAAAAAGTGAACATAAATTATTGCTTTTACTTTATTCTTTTATTAGAAAGGTTTCTCTGAAATTGTGGAAGCCACAAAATGTATTAACTCGTATCCTCAAGGGGCTTCACGGGATCTTTATTGTGCTTATCCCACTTTTGGTAGAATTATAGATGAACAGGTCAGTGGTGCTCCGTCAAAATGAACAAATTATCAATATGTCTATGATTACTGTTTATTCACACAGTCGCATCGTATACTTGGTTTAATATCACATGTTTTTAAATGGCAAAACATTCGTGGCAATATACAACGACGTCAACCGGACGACCAATTTGATATGTTGTTAGAATGTAATGACGCTATTTTTGATAGGCTACAATCGAATTTAGATGAATTGGCGGGCATAAAAAAGAACCCACAAACTGTGGTAGTGGAATCGCGCATTAATAATATAACTCCAGTAAAGACAACAACATGCAAAGGGGCATGGAATCTAAAAACCAATGATATAAGGCCATTGATGTCAGCGCGTCTAATTACGGCGAAAAATATTCCTCGGCCACAGGTGAAGTTTCAAATTCCTGTAGATAATAAAGCAGACAAACCTTTCATGCCCAGGATAAAGGATAAGCCGAACTCGTTAAAACCATTAGCCATATTGCCCGAGTATGATGAATCCGGGGACGTTGTCTGCTACTTGCATCCTTACGAATTTGAGCTAATGAAGTTCGAAGTTCCGAGTGGACAGCTAAAGGCGAAGGAGTCTTGTCAAGTACCAAAAGACATGAAAGACACCGAGTTAGTATATGTGGACACAGCGGAAAAGTTAAAAAATGCCCTGCAAGAATTAAGTCAGGCGAATGAGTTGGCTGTCGATGTCGAGCACCACAATTATCGTTCGTTCCTAGGTTTCACTTGTTTGGTGCAAATCTCTACTAAATTAAAGGATTATATATTTGATGCCTTAGAACTAAGAGATGATATGCATATTCTTAACGAAGTGTTAACTAATCCAAAAATAGTGAAAATCTTCCATGGTGCTGATTTGGACATAGAATGGTTGCAGCGCGATTTGTCCTTATACATAGTGAACATGTTTGACACACATCAAGCGGCGAAAGCGTTGAATTATGCACGGTTGTCGTTGGCTTTTTTATTAAAAATTTATTGCGATATTGAAATAGACAAGACATTTCAATTAGCCGATTGGCGCATACGCCCTTTGCCTGATGAATTAATCGCTTACGCTCGACAAGATACGCACTTCCTGATTTATGTGTATGAACGGCTCACGAATGATTTATTGAAGGCTGGTAACGAACAGCCTCAACTCTTGCGCGGCGTTTATCAGCGCAGTACGGAATTGTGTAAGAAACGTTACGTTAAGCCCGTCATAACGCTGTCATCACACCTTGATATGTACAGGAAATCGAAAAAGCTATTTGATAATCGTCAATTACACGCATTACGAGAGATTTTCCAATGGCGTGACGCAATAGCTCGTCAGGAAGACGAAAGTTATAATTACGTCCTCCCGAACCACATGATGTTGCAAATTGCAGAGAACTTACCGCGAGAAATGCAAGGAATATTGTCTTGTTGCAATCCAATCCCACCGTTGGTTAAGCAGCATCTATATCCATTACATCAGATCATATTGAAGGCCAGAGAACAGCCTTTAGTAAAACCGATAATGGACACTGAGATCACTCATCGGACTGTCTCCATAAATGTAAAAGATTACAATAGCAAATTGTATTGCCCCCATGATCTGACGCACTTGGAAGAAATTCAGGATTTGCCAACACTGATTAATTTTAAATCAGATTCTGAGCAGCAAATTATCTCCGATGATGGAGATCGGGTGACTCCAGTTCGTTTGAAGAAAGCTACTTTGCGTTTTTATGAAAAGCCAACCAACTGCGAAGAGGTTTGCATTTGGTAAATTTTAATTTCTTTTTTTAAAGTCTAATTGATTTTTGTTTTTGTGTTCTTATTTTGGCTTAGGAACGATTAATAATGAAACGCAAGCGAAAGGAAAAAGATTTGATTTTGCAACCGTACTATCGCTATTTAGCCATGTTGCCTATCGTTGAGAAAGAAAAGTTGGACGAGGCTGCTCGCATTGAAGCCGAAGAAAAAAAAATTCAGTTATGTCCGACAACGGTCGTAGATAATAGTGTGACTGAGGAAGAAGTAATTAAGAACGAAGAAGATGCGTTCCGCATATCAGTTAAAGAAATGCTTAAACGAAAACGTGAGGAAAGCTCTAGTTCAAAAACTGCCGCTTCCGTCCATTCGAATGTGAAACGACCAAAAACTGGCCCACGAAACAATCAGTTCTGTACAGAAAAGCGATTAAATGGTAGCGAGGAGGCACTAAATAGGCCAGTAAATGGTGACCGAAGTGCAAACGACAACGATGTTAATAACGACGACTTGAATATTTTGTCTGAAGAGGGACCTAGTTCGTCGCAGTCTCTTGTACAAGAGCAACAAAAATCGAATAAAAAAAAATTAAAAAATAAACATAAAAGCAATAAATCAGGTCCATCGTCTAAAATATATCAAAGTTCAAATAAGCCAATTCAAATAGATTTCGATTACAATAAAGTCGATTTTAACAAGTTTAAAGGCGGCGCGCAAAAAGCAAAACCTACGGAGTTCAAGCAACGATTTCATGGGAAGGTAAGTAGGTCGGAAGTTTTTATGAAAGAGCACTATATAAAAAGTGAAATTGTTCTTTGCTTTATTTTCAGAATAACGCTAACAAATCACAAAACAAGAAATTAAATAAATTGTTCACGTTCTCTCAAGGAAAAGGTAATAAGAAATAGTAATCTGGTTCAAAATTTATTATTTTCTATCTTCTTTTTTTTTTTATCTAACTAAATTTAATTTAATAATCAGTAACAGAAATATCGTAAATAAATTTCAACAAATTGAGTTCAATTAAGAATTGTTTTCAAATTAAAAGAATCTACGGGTAGATAAAATGTACTTAAAGAGTCTATGAATCACTTTGATGTTTTTACTTAAAATTACATTGATTCCTTTTACATGCAAATTTTATTAATAATTTAAAAGTGAATAAGAAAATTCAACAACAATGTCTTTTTAGAATAAAATATAATATAATATGATATGTTTGCTTAGGAAATATTTTATAAATTCTTTAACATTTTCTCTCCTTCACGATCCAGACAGTATTCGACCACTGCATAGACGACTAGTAAACGTCTTTCGACACCTCTTTTATGTTTATCGGTTATTAGAGGATACAAAGCGTCGTGCTTTGAGAGACGATCTATTAATTCTGTCAGTACGCCGCCAGAAAATACCTGTAAGCGTTCCCAGGTAGTAGCACGTAATCTATTATTTGACAAAAATTTCGAATTAAGAAAATACATTAACGAAATGCTGCGCCTCGGATAAATACTTACAAACAGCACTGATAAAGGGGAGCTAATATGTCCAAATGATCTTTACTAGGATTACCAAATGCTTTACCATTATCGATTAGAACAACACGTTCTTCACGGGTCTCATAGTGGTGACGATCACCGTTTTGTATTAGATAATCGAAAATAGCTACGTCTATTAAATCCAAAAGTCTTATGGTTTCCATTTTTCCCTTTAAAGCTCTTTAAAGTAAATTTTGTTAAGCTATGTTGCTTTTATATATAAATGTATATCTTTTTTTTGAACTTACTTGCAGTAGTTCATATCGTCCTCCCAAGGTGCACGTTTATCGTCTTTGTATGTACGCTGCCACGGTGAACGTTTTTTGCTTAATTGTCCCGGTATTATGTAGATCAGCACACCCTCAATATTATTCTTTTCATCACCGCACACAGTCTCCTCCTCATTGCAATAGTGACACTTGCCGAATAAACAATATTGTTCGGTACCGTTTTCTTCTGGCGTTATCGTCATCGTATTTTGTAGCTCATTATCGCCCTTTTCATAGATATCTCTTTTTAAGTTTACTATACGCCCCACAACAATAGGCGTCGAACGAAAATCCAATACAGCACCCAAGTAGAATGCGTACACTTCTGCTACGTGTCGATCCTTGCCGCCATAAACTGGTCCGTCAATTACAATATCACGAGGATACCATTGAGGTTTGAATATGATTTTCTGTTGATTTGCCAAACGCATCAACAGCTTTAGTTGAGTGCCACGCGCCAAATTATAGACTTTTGTTATAGGTTCTAAGCGCAAAGTTTGTAATAATTGCCCCATTGAGGAGTCGTATTGCGGGTAAATTTCATTTTCATGCGGCCACTAGAGAGAAACGAAATACGGCATACGACGCTTTTTTTACTCTAATGTAAATTTGAACCTTTTTTTTTTAGTTTTGAAAGTAAATTGTTTAAAATTAGACATAAAGACGCTATGGGCAGTGAAGAAGATAAGCGAAATGTGTGTGCAAGAGATGAGTACGCATGCCCTCCTTGTGGGCCCAACACAAAAAGAGATTACTTCCTTCTCTTTTAGAAGTTCCCTTTCTTGTCTTTAGTAAGTGGGAGGAAAGAAGTAGATCTGATTATCTTGACAATTGTATCAGGTTCGAAAGCATTTTCAATAGTTATTTCAAAACTCCTTGTCACTTTATTTGTTAACTCCAAAATGAACGACAAGTTTGGGATTTGGTATTTTGTATTCTTTTGGAAAAGAAGTCTAATCCTGGTATAAGAGTATATTAAGTTTGTGCAGGCTTATGCAACAGCAAGAAGGACTTGAGATATATACATCTTTTATTATTGTTTATCTGTCTGTCTTGTTTCCTAACGTGCTTTGGCTCGGTATTCAAAATAGTTCGGATCGGATGACTTTCTTGACCATTTCCCATGTTACGCCTCATTTCAAAAAGTCGATATATGGGTAACTTTAGTGGGATGTAAGCTATTTAATGCTGAACCGTGCCCTACTCTAATGTTTTTACTTGTTTAAGCTCAAAACGAGTTAAAAGTAATTTAACACTCGACTTTGCAAATATTTATTAGAAATGTTTGCTTGTGCTGATAACACAAATATTTTAAAAGTTTTAAATGAGTTTATTTTCTATTTTATTAAACTATATTAATATGTTTTTGTAGTTTTTATGAATGTGTCCAATGTCCAATTTTTACAAATCTATATTTGATTTTAAAATGAGCAAAATAATATAACCTTAAAAATCGCTTCAGATATAAAATTCCATTTCAAAGTATTTGAACGTAATTGCGCATCTACTTTAAAATACAAAAGGAAAAACTGATGGCCCCAGTCTGGTAGGTTTGTGTCCACTCAATACGTTTTATGTCCTTATCGACTGAGAACTAGCCTATAGCTACGATCGAAGGAATTGCTATTTCATAGAGTAGTGCATATCACAATATTTTTTGCGCTTTCTAGCAGCTTTGGAAGCGCCTAACATATGCGTAAAATTTCGGCAGACTTTTTTAAAGAGTACATAAGGAATGAAAATGTTTCGCATAAATCTTGCTGTATATTCAGCAAGACGGTGAGCTAGAAAGAAGGTTTTTGATCTCTATTACCTGGTCGAGGTACTAACTATTCCTCAGAAGATTTTTGAAAATTGTAAAACCGGTCTAATTGTTTATATGTAACTTCCAAAAACTGAGACTTTTGTTGATTGCCTTCTGGATGCGGGCAATATGAATTTTTGTGCTCAAGGAAAGCTAAAACGGATAGTACATTATTATTGCTCTCGACAAACATAAGTGAAAAATAGAATTTTTTTAAATTCGGTCACCTGTTCGATCCCCTTTGGACATTAACGCTTAAAGGGTTATTCGAATATTTTCAGTTATACTAAGTAAACAAATTTTCTGCCTGACTGCCCTGACTGACAAATTCTAAATTTTCGAGTTCTTGTTTGAATACCTTTTCATATCAAAATTTGCTAAAGTTGTAACTTGGAAAATGCAGTGAAGTCTAATAACTTTTTTTCGAACAGTTTCCTAATTTATTATTATGTATATTATTAATAATAAATATTTATAATAAATGTTTATAATATTTATTAATAATAAAACTTTACAAATAATAATTATTAATTGTAATAAAATTGTTGTGCTAATAAAACCATAGACTGCTTTGGCATAATTACTTTATAACAACGTAAATAGGGACAGCCTAAGTGAACTACATCATAACCAGTCAAAACATGATTATTAAATTATATTTGCTACACTAAACTCCTTTCCGCCTTTATAGTCTAACTTTGAAATTTCGTTTAATTTGTTATTTTTTAAATGATATTTCTTTGCCATTTGCAAGTTGACCTAGTACTTGTACAAATGATATATCTCTGTAGTGTCTGCATTCTATTGCAACTTTTCCCAACTCAACACAGGGCTTAAGTAAATTGGCTGCTAATGTTAAGAACATATTCATTTCATGCACCTTCCTATTTATATATACTATAGTATCAAAATCATGACGAATAGAAAAATGTCGATATCACTATTTAATATTCATTATATTGATCGAACTACTCGGCAAGACTTATTGATAATAGCTAAAATACTATACATTTATTTATTCTCATTATCAGCTTTTTTTTTTTTTTTTTTGGTTTTTCACATGTCTCCTTTTGAACTACTCACCCAGTTGGCTATATCCCATAAAACGGAGGCATTCTCGTAAGCAGCGGGCTTATAATTTTTTAACAATTTATTGCGATACATAAAGAAACGTGGATTACGATTTAGATAAGAAGGCTTAAGATGTCTGATTTTCGAACGGATCACATTCTCTAAGGCACGTGTACTGGACAGTGGTATTTCTTCGGCATTCAAATAATACATAAAATAGAAATTGGCGCCGACAGCTATACAAACAAGACTTACGAGAGCCACAATAATTATCACAGTCCGTTTATTCATTGTCAGCTATTCGTTGAGAGCGACGGCAAAGATTGCACCAATGATAATGACAACAAAGACAAGAACAATAATGACGACGACAATGTTAATTTACAATTAATCGATTGTTGTTTATTACGTTGTTGTTGCCGCCAATGTTGATAGAGGCAAAGATGATGATAATGACGATGATGTTGCAAAATTAAGAAATATAGTAACGCATTGGTTATATATGAATCGCACCTATGGTGAGATGTAGTGATCTTGTCGCTATTGTGAAAACAGGCAGATGCAGTAGTAGTCTTATTATTGTTAAGTTTAGCTGAATACGTTGAGAGGCAATAAATAATCGTCATTTGAAATTTTGGCGGCACCCAAATTGGCAGCTGTATGGTATTTACATTTGTGTGCGTGTGTTTGCGTAATGTTCCACTTGTTGTCACACTGTCTGTCTAGGTAAGGCGACATGCAACAGCTGTTGTCCTACAAGATATTTCGTTCAGGCTTTCTTTTGCTTTATTTGCTCTGCACGAGTTATGCTTGATATTAAAATATTTACTCGTGCCTTTTTTTTAGGTTTTGTTGGCTTAAATTTAATTAATCGTTAATCATATGACAAGAAGAAATCTCTACGTTTGACTAGATACTTTCAAATTACACTTGTTGTTGTACTTTCAATGATGTTATTTAAAAACATCACATTGTTCATCATTGTGACACTTTTCCTGTGATTTTTTGAATGTTTTCTATTTTTTTCTTATACATATCTAATTATTGTTGCTTATTTTAAAGAAAATGTGTGATTCTCTTTATACTTTAAATTCGCGAAAAATTTAATTTTTTCAACTTTTTATACGTATTTTTTGCGGTATTTTGGTTGTTGGGAATGTTTGGATATTTTCATACTGCTACGGTGGATGCTGGAAACTGAAGCTGTGAGAAGTTGAAAGAATCGTATAACGATTGCAAATTGTACAAAGATATGCTTTCACATAATCAATACAAAAAATGGTGCACTTTATGAGAAAAATGTTACCAAACAAAAGGCATTTTGATAATTTTTTAACTTAAATTATCTGAAACCGACTGAATTGAAGCCATCAACATTCTCGATCCCGGATAATTCCTTATAGACACGTTTCGATAGATTAGACAAGAGACAATCGTCCACTTTTATTAAAGAATGTAAAGACACGCAACCGCAAAATGGCACTCGTCTCGGTGAAAGACGGAAAACTAATGTAGTCTAAAACAGAGCCCTTTAAAATAACTTGCAGCACATAAGTGCTTACAATTATGTTTTCACTTAGAGGTAAAAAAATTAAAAATAACACTTAATAGAAGCAAGCAAAATATATATATGTATATATATATATATATATATATATACAAAAAATTAGCAACAAATGTTAATAAATTATGGCACAAACACTTATAGAAATTTTTGTTGTTTGTTCTTTTGTTGACACTGAACATGTTAATTGCATCTCATCGGCTAGGCCGCGGTTCATTTTTGCACACAAGAGATGTAGAGAAGACCTGGTAACGAATAAGCATCATAAGCAAACCGCCAATAGATTCTCTTGAATTGGTGACGTATTTATCTAAAATCTTTTTTAATATTTTAATAAACTGCAAAACTAGAAAAACTATATTCAATTGATTTTTAAGACTCTCCGTACTCTGTATGTACGTTTGCTAATAACCTTGTCTCCTGTAAAACCAAAACAAATGTATCCATAGTGAAAACAATAATCCACCGCTCTCACAGTCAGACAACTATAATTGACATGCGTCTCTTGTTTCTATACAAACATATATTACCGTTTATTTCTTATATATTTTAATAAATAAAATATGCTTACAATAACAGCCTTCTTTTACTAATAAACATGTAAACAATTCTTAAGTTCGAGTAGCTTATGGACAGGGTTTCCAGCACAGATTATTTTGTATTTTTTTGACATTTTCGAAACAAACAAACCTGATAACTAAGTAGTAGCTAAAGCGCAGCCATGTTATATTTGGGAAAAAGCGTTAAAAAAAGTGAAGCTAGAGGAAATGGTTTCAAATTCGTGAAAACATTGCACAAATTGCAAAATAGTTATTTAGTTAGTTAACTAACGCGAAAAAAAGAAAAAAAAAGGATTAAGATAAAAAAAATTGTGAAATTGTTAATACTCGTGAGTTTTTCAAAGTGTTAAATGGAAGCAAAATAACGTGACGGTTGACGTTTATAGCAAATACAATTGCAGATTGCAAGATTTGGCCAGCGCAAGTATTAAATGGGCTGCGCCATTATTACATTTTTTTTTTTTTTTTTTTGGGTTGTTGAGTGGAGATGGACTAAGCCAATAATATTTATTAAATAATACGTTCTTATGGATTCGAAATACTCAAATAGCTTCTATTCCGTTCAGCCAGTAATATTTACTATTCTAGAAACAATTTGCTCGTGTAAACGATCAGTATAAGATGTAGTTTGCAAGATACTATGAACAAGTGTGTGTTTTTTTTTGCAAGAACCGCTTCCAAGCAGGCATCTGATTGTGAAATAAATAACTGAGCAAGAGCGAATTCTTGTAATTATAATAAGAATAGCGAACTACTCGTTTAGTAAAGCTATCGCGGAAAATGCGTTTGCGAGCAAAATAAATCACACTACATTGTTGAGTTTAGAAAGAATCGAAATTTTTATAGTATTGAAAATGAACCGAGCGTCTATTCCGCAGATTTTTGAACTTAACTTTAGCTTCTCGCCTTCATAATTAATAGAAAATTCAAAATAAGCATATAATAATCTCATATGCATATTTTAAAATTTGTTTAAATAGTCAATTAAGCTTTTCAAGGTGAAAAGCAAAATGCCGGTGGCTCCTTGTATTTCTTAAGTAGTAATTTGACAATTAACTTCTTAGCTTAGTTAACTTAGCTATAAGTTCCGCGAAGTGAATTTTATGTATTCTGGATTTCAGTGCACTGTCGTTGCTTTATTGTTAGCGTCGCAACTTAAATAAGATAAGAAATTTTCAATTTACTTTTAAAATAATGTATCGCATAAATTTTTAATTTTTGTCACACATTTTTGTTAATTCCATAAAATTCCAAAATACGATTAAAGCAAATTGAAATATGTGATTTAAAGTTTTTTATATTAAACTCCAATATTCGTTTCATAGCTTGTTGTGAAGATGATGTTAAGCATTTGTGAAAATCCAAAGGACAAGTTTCGACATTAGAGAAAGCGATAAAAGAAAATAACTCATTTCGAAATAATTGTGTAGTCCGGCTTGTGACAGGGAGGAGCTTATTTAATCAAGTCTTTTTTTTCTTCCTGGCAACCAAATGAAGAAAGTTTATTTCATGTAATAGATTGTGTTCATCCATGATAACTCTCCCATAATAAAATTTATTAACACGATCTACATTTAGCTCGGAACCGTCCAGCAATGCAAACAATATGGTAGGCTATCTTAGTGAAGCGATATAAACAGAACAGGGAGGCCCTTGCCAGTGGTTTCTTGTAGCCTGAGCGAAATCGCAAATTCATTTGCTTCATTTGAAAATTATAGCACGAGTTATATCTTGAACTCCTGCGGAAATAGTTACTTATGTCGGCGTTGGTCCAACGTGACTTTGTACATCAATGCATGCTAACTTAGATTCTGCTTATAAAGTAGTAAACGTTGATCAGAACTTAATTTTTCTTTCTCACTCAAGTCAAAGAGAGCACGGAACCGTCGCCGGGTACTTTCAAATGCTTTTATTAAGAAGAAGTTTTTCTGTGACAGAAGAGAGAACAAATATTGAATCTCTTATCATATCGCTAATAAAGGCATGGTATTAATATTTTAGCACCCATTGATTGCAAACAATAAGGGGCCCTTTTAGGCTCCTCCTGGTACCAAAAGTCTGACCTGCTCTATGATATAAATTTAATGGCCGCAGTGTAAGGAGGTACAGTTTTGCCAAGCATGTTGTAGAACTCCTCACGAATGCTTTTTTTTCTTCTTCGTTTCAGGTGCTTTGCGATTTACACTCTTTGGAAGAGATGGCTGAACGGACGTATCGATTGTCTATTCTCAATTTATAAACACAACAATTTAGTTGCACCACGGTTTATTCTCAATTTACAAACACAACAATTTAGTAGTCTATGCGTGTGTTTGTCTTATTGTTCTAAACCGACCGATAAATTGAAAATATTGCTATGCGGTACTTTCAATATCGAATTCCATTTGCTCATTTTCCTTTAGATATTACAGAGAACGGAGAGATATTTTCTATTTGTTTATTCTCTTTACCGCAATATTATTTTTATTTTAGTCGCTGTTAAGTTTTACATGCAACGAAATACGTACAAAATGTACTGTGTACGTGTGCACAGGAAATGGAGCAACAGTTAGAAATCCCTGTAAATATGCACGAACATATACACAGACCTTCGCCATAATTATTAGTATGGAAACTACATTGTTCAAATCATGAAACCACCCTGACGGCCAAATCCTATGTAATGAAGTAAATATGTTTAAACGAAAGAAAAGAGATGGAATTTAAAAGCTGTACCTGTATTATGGTGCGAGGGACGACAAATAAGTCCTAAAGTATGTCATGTTTTAATAACACCTCTTCTTGTCTTCTTTTTGCCTAGAACAAGAGATATTTGTAACAAAAGCTATGTGCAGGTGGTTGAAAAGCTTAACGCTACAGCATGAAGTACATTATATTTTATTCTTCCACTAGCATGCTTAGTAATAGGAAAAGCAAGCTGCTCGATTACTAAACCGGAAAATGAAAAAATTCTCATATATGAAATTTACATTTAGAAAGAAGTAGCGGCGTCTTTATCGAATTGCTCTAAATTTCTTATTTTCGAATGGCGATCGATTAGATTGCAATAGACCGATTCGCGCAATTACTGATTATATAGTAAGTGACAGATAAATATCATGCTACGATGCAAAAAGTCGGTTGCCTGAGTTTGTATGCTTTCATGATGTTTAAGCGACTTTTTTCTATTTTTCTTGCAAGCGTTTGGCTCGATCATGAAGAGTTTCGTAATGTGAATTTAAAGTCTAATTTCTATTATATGAATAATTTTTCTAAGCACTCTCGTAAAAGCAACAGTCTGTTTGGGTGTATGTTTGCGAAAATTTCTGTTGTTTTCAAGTTTGAGAATTACTTCTCCTTTTCTATTCAATCGTTATGGTAAACCTATGAATATATGTACATATAAATGTACACATGACGTATATCATATCTGTACATATCAATAATTATGCTGACACTATATACTAAAAGATGTATGATATGAGCCGCTTTATGTATATGTATATATATACCGATGTAAAGGATGTTAAGCGAAGTTTTGCTTTGTGAAGTCAGTGCCCGGGTGGTTGTTGCATAGTTCAGTTCGTATTTTTTGTTATAATATTTGGATGCAGTGCAACTCTTAACGGAAAGATATTTATTTACATATTATATGAATTCCCAGGATTTTTGAAATAAGTTTAATTTCCTATAAAGACAATGAAATTGTCGAAGTGCGTTAAAAATGATAATGAAATATCTGTATGTGCAATACAAAATACATCAAAACTCATATTAATACGCTTACACTTATATAAAAAATAAATTTTCTTAAACATTATCGTCTTAAAATTTAACCATGGTACGTCTTGATTGTTATTTATCTATGGAAATCTTGATTTTGATTGAATAGTATTTGGTATTCTTTCCATTTTTTCCAAGACTTGTCAATCTCTTAGAAAAGGCGCAAAAATTTATCATAGGAGTTGCTTTTGTCTGTTGCTTTTATTTTTTCCAATGTTAAGCTTTTATTATTCGTTAAAGTGAAAAGATATTTAATAATGTAGACATATGTACACTAGACGAATATGTTAAAGGCGTTCGTTCTGCAAGGAAAGGAAAAAACCTGTAAGTCATTGCACCGAAAACCATCCATTTCAGCATCCATTCAGTCACTGAAAGTGAAATGTATGTGAATGTTTGCTTTCATATAATGAGAGGAACTCTATTCTCTCTTCGATTTTTTGCACTAATTTGGTTTACAAGTGTTGTCAAACTCAGTTTATTATATAACGCACACCGAAAATGTGTTTTATAAATATTTACTAACCCAAAGGTAATGCGAAAATTGTGCAGATTGCCTATTTCGTCATTTTTATACATAATAGCTCATTATGGGCAACGAACTTCTTTTTCGATTCCATAATCTTATTAATTACAGATCTAGCTGAGTTGTTTGGCTGAAATCAGCTCCCGAAGACATGCAGTGGTTCAATTTGAAAATTTGTCGCACAAACATTCGTTTGCTGACATTGATTTTTGACCAATCAACATGTACCAAAACAAAAGAATTTCTCTTAATATTTACACACAAGAATATCAATCAATATCAGTTTGTTTTTATATCCGCCTGAGTGGCCGAGTAGGCAAGAGTCTCGCCTAGGAAGTCAATGGTCGTGGGGTTCGAATCTCAAGTGCGGTAGAGTTTTTAATAAAAGTCGATAGCTTTAGATGCTAGTGCTTTTAACAGCTTTGTCTTAGAATTTATTTCTCTGGCGAAATTAATAATAATAATAATAATAATATCAGTTTATAATTAGTAGCAAAAGCGCCAAATTTTTCAACCAAAAATAAAATTTGACAGCACTGTACACCGGCAGTAGTAGTAAGTCATTCATGTAAGCAACAGCTCATCTAAGAGTAATTCAGTTACATGTTTGTAATATTTCTCTTCCATTCTCTTTTTTTCTTATTTTCTATACAATTGTACTACAAATTTACAATAATTACAACTGTCCTCCTAGTTGTAAATGTAGTGCTTGCGTATATATTGAAATAGTGGCAACACGTTGTTGAACAAACCGATTTACATAGGTTTAAGTTCGGGATACGAACTGTATACACGAAT